CCTGGGACTCACTTGGTAGTCCAGGCTGGCCTCCAACTCACAGAGATCCGCCTGGCTCTGCCTCCCGAGTGCTGGGATTAAAGGCGTGCGCCACCACCACCCGGCCAGGTTGCTTTCTTATAGCAACTAGGACCATCTGCCCAGGGGTGGCACCACCCACAGTGAGCTGGACCCTCTCACATTAAGCAGTAATAATTTAGAAAATGCTCCACGACTGCAACATTTCACAGCACTGTACCCCTTTCTTCAGCTCTTACAATCTTAACACCCCACACAGTGTTCCCAGAGCCTGGAAGGTGTGATAAATACATCCCATCTGAGGCTGAGTCACTTATCTTTAGCACTTTTGACCATGAGTGAGTCTCTGTGTAACCACCTCCCACTGCAGAAATAGGCTTAAGAGATAATTCTTGTTGGACTAGGGAAGACTGGAGAGAGACATGATTGACAGCTCTAGGGTTTTCCCTGGGCATTCACGGCAGGTGTTTATGGGCACAAATTTGTATAGATGTGTGTGTGTGTGTGTGTGTGTGTGTGTGTGTGTGTGTGTGTGTGTGTGTTTGCATGCATGTTGCTTCTTGTAGTTACTGGTCACTGCAAAACTGCCAGAGCAGTGTAAGCATATGGTCATGGATATGGCATATGCATGTGTGTGTCTGTGTGTATACACATATTTGTGTCTCTGTCCACACACATACACACACACACACACACACACACACACACACACAAACATTTTTATTTGTGTGTGTATGGGTGTGGGGGTGATCATGCCACAGCACATGCATGGAGACCAAATGACAACGTATGGCAGTCGGTTCTCTCTTTCCACCACGTGGGTCCTGGGGATTGAACTCGGGTTCTTAAGCTTGGTGGCAAGCACCTTTACCTACTGAGCCATCCCTCCAGCCCGACCTTATACAGTGTTTCTTAATCCCAGTGCTGGCACCGCTCTGGTCCTGCACTGAAGTATTGTTTCTCTAGGCTGAGTCTGACATAGGGGATGGAGTGGCGGCGGATGGCCAGGAACTGGTGCAGACATAGGCTTTCAGATGGGTCCTCGGGTTCCCCTCCTCTCGTCGCTCATGTGTGTTTCTCATCCACTTCCTGTCTTCCAGGAGTTCATTCAGTTGGCAAAGAGACTGGTTAGCGATCCTGCACTGGAGAAGGAAATCGTGACCAACGGAAGGGAGTACGTGAGGACGCACCATTCCTGGCAGGTGGAGAGAGACACCTACCAGCGCCTCATCCAGAAGCTGGAGGCCAGCTTGGAGGATTAAATGATGGAAGTCTGTGCTCACCACATCTGTCCCAGCAACCATCCGGTGCTCAGCTCTGGGTAGAGGCCAAAAGATGGGACTTAGCCCTGGACCACTGGAATCCTAGAGTCCCCGGGAACATATCCACCCCCCAACTCTCCTGTGTGGCGAACACAGTCCCAAAAGTACTTACAGCTTCGTTTTCTGGATGGGCTTATGGCTCACTCCTGAAAGTGCTTAGGACTCAGTCCCCAGAAGTATTTGCAGCTCTGTGCAGGTGATGGGGGTGCCTCTCAGGGGCCTCTGGGGGAAGTGTTCCAAGAACTGCTTTTACAACTTACGGGGGTGAATTATTAAGCAACCACAGCGCAGACCCTTCTCCTGCCTTCGGGGTGAGCTCTGACTATCCTTACCAGTCCACAAAGAAGAAACAGAAAGGCCAGGACTGTCAACAGATCTTGACCTGCGGCCCATCACGGGGTATGGGGTAGGTGGGGGCCCAGGCTGCGGCTGGCATGCTTATTAAAGCCCTGGAGAGGCTGTGAATGGGTTGTGTCAGTACACGTCGCTCCTCACTGGTACACCTGAGGGATGCTTTCCCAAAGAGGCCAGGTTGCCCTGCAGGTCCTGCCCACCTGTATCATGTCACAGGGAGCCTGGAAGATGATTGGATGGCCCCCATGATGGAGGCTAGGACCTTGAATTCAGTGTGGCCATTCTTCCCTCTTAATTGCTAGGGAACTGAGGGCAAGCGCTGACTAAGTCGCAAGACTCCGGACAATGGTGGCACCCAAGACTGTGACAGGAGGTCACTGGCTTATGGGGAGGTCAACCTGGGGGGTCGGTAGGATCTCCCCACACCAGCACACCATGCTTCCTGTGCCCTCTTGCTGAATTCCAGCAAGGCTGTGCTACTTACTGAAAGCAGGACATGCAATGGCCGCCTGTGCTAAAGCAAGCAGCTTGGAGGAGGAGAGAAGGAAAACGCAGCCGAGAGCCACACATGCAAAGAAAGTGTCAGGCTCTGGAGGGAACGGAGGAGGACTCAGCACCCATGTTGTCCCTGCTCCAACTTTGAAGGCACATCCTGGGCCTTTTGCTTTTCTACAAAAAAATAGAAAGAAAAAAAGAATAAGAAAGGAAGAAAGAAAAAGACAGACAGAAAGAAAGAAACATTGTCAGCAACATCTCTTTTTAAGAGAAGCGGGCTAGAAGGAAGTCAACTGTGTAAGTCAGTACTTCAGGGATAAGAACAGAGCACCATTCCATAGGGTATCATTCGGCTTCCCATTTCCGTACCTCAGATCCAGCACAGCCACTTTCATGAAGGCTCCAGCCAAGGCAGCAGCAATCCCACAGTCCTTGAGCTCCTAGCGTCTGGAGGCCGGCTGAGCCATGTGCCCATTTCCTTAACCCCTGGCTTGAGCTGGGGTCTTACCTCTCGGGGTACAAGGAGAGGGAGGGAGTAGTGAAGACTGAATCCTGAGGGAGGTTCCTCTGAGCCCAGAGTTCAAACCCACCTCAGGAGAGGTATGCAGAGATCAGGTGTCATTGTTTACAAAGTGGGATGCTCTGGAATGCATGCCTCTCCTTGGCCTGGTGATGACATCACTGCCCAAGCCCAACATTGCCAGCGTCACATCTTCTGCAATGTGCACTTTGGGGAAGGGAGGGTTCTTAATTAATAAAGCGTGCCACCATCAGCCATACAGAAACAGCCGCTGTTTTTTTTCATCCCAGGAGCACCTCTTGTGGTCCCCAAGACAACAAATACGATACTTGAGAGTCTGATCAGAGGGGTTAGACATGGACTTAGACAAAAGTGTGATACTTTTCCCTTTCTGTAACAGGCACTGTAGTAAGCGGTAAAGAGAGGTTTATGCAGGCTCACAGGTTGGAGTTTCTAATCCACACCTGGTTGGCTCTATTGCTCTGGGCCTGTGGCGAAGAAGCCTCTTGACGGGGATGATTGGCAGAGCAAACCTGCCCCCTTCACAGCTGGGAAATCAAAGGGAAAGGGAGGCAGTGGTCCTAGAACCTTACTCAAGGCTGATAACGACTTCAAGACCATAGAGTAGGCCCTATCTTTTGAGGATCCCACCTCCTCAGACATTGCAGCCGTCCTTTCAAGGGGGCGTGTGGGGTGGGCTGCTGCAGGCCTGTGTGTGGGAGACATGCTCACCACACAGGCCCGGGAGGGAGGTTTGCAAATGTTGGAGCGCTTAGCAGGCACTTTGTACCGCTGGGCTTTTGTGAGCCTTATCACTACTTCCCAGCCCTCATGACAGTTCCATCATGTCAGCCCCTTTCCGTATCCGTTCTCTTTCTAGTCACCACAACAGAATCCCTAACAGAGGCATCAGAAGGTAAGTCAGGTTTCCTTTGGCTCATCTGCCGGGCCATTCAATCTGCCCTGGAGGCTGTGGTGACTCTGTGCGGCAGTGGGGGCTTTGACCTAGCTTGTTCACATTTTGGCTGATCGGAGAGCTGGGGTAGGAAGCTATGCCAGACCACTATCTTCTGTGAAGGCATGCTTCCAATGGCTCCCTCCATTGGCCAAGACTTCAACCCCAAGGTTCTACAGCCTCTCCAGAAAGCGCCATCAGAGCTGGGGTGCCCAACATAAGAGCCATTGTGGATAGCTTCTCATTTAACTGCAATACTCCCCAACCTCCATTTTGTCAACCCCAGCACTTCCCACCTCTTTCTCAACATTTGCAACTCTGCTTTACAGTCCAAACAACATATTATTTACTTATTTAGATTTACTCTTTTTTTTGAGTGAGAATTAACTTCATTATTTATTCAGTTACAAGAAATAATCAAGAATAGGAATCATCCCTTATATATAAAACACACATCAGATCCCATATGGCTCTGCCAGGCCCTCTAGCACAAGGTAATGATGAGATTGATGAGTTATTGATAGGAAATGTGCTGGGGGCCCATAAAAATCTTGGGGAAGGAGAGGGCTTGTGTGACTGCTCAGTTTCAGGGTCTTCTTGAGACTTGTGAATTGCTTGCTTCTTGGTAGACTGTTTCAACTCAGAGGAAATTGCTATTTAATAGCCATATATGTCTATAAGCACAGTGCTCTGGGGATCCTAGACAGAAGATCACTAGGGCTTACTGGCTACCACACTGGCTCTGGGCTCTCAGTAAGAGACTGTTTCAAAGAAATAATGCAGGGGCTGGAAAGATGGTTGAGTGGTAAATAGTATTGACTGTTCTTCTATAGGTCCTGGGTTCAATTCCCAGCACACACACACACACAGGTATGTACAACACACACACACACACACACACACACACACACACACACACACACACACACACACTCCATAAAATCCCCAAATGAGTAGTGGTTTAAACAACAGGGAAATTAATTCTCTCCCTCTCAAATAACAAGACTCCCTTGGGGATTCCAGTTTTCTATGGGGTAAGAGACCCACACTTTTCCCATCTGACTCTTCCTTCCCCCCTCATCAAGGGAGAGGTGGCCATTACTAGCTCATGGTATGAAGAGGCTGCCTATGTTCTTCCATTATGCCCGAATTCTAGGCAAGAACAAAAATACTTATCCTTCTCTTCAAGATAATTCTTACTTTGGGTTCTATCCCATAGCCACATATAGCTGCAAGGGATGCTGAGATATACTAACTCCTGGGTCCAGTGGAAAAGTTGGAATCTAACTGGGGAAGAAGAAGGTGGCCCTGCTGTAGTAGCAGCCATTGAGATACACTGAATTGAGATCCTGGTTGTGGCTACAGGCAGCCTGCTTTGCATAATCGCTGAATAACTTTTAATGTCAAGAACAGTGTTTTTCTGGGCTTTAATTTAGCCTCTTAAGGTCACCACTCACCTTTTCTCCATCAGATGATCATTTATCGCCCAAGTTCTCTGCCAGCGCATCCTATCGATCCGCACCTCAGACTTTGCCGTTCCTAAATTAAAAACTCAGTGTAAGAGAGAATGAGACTTTTTGTGGCATGAAATGTCCCCTTGCTTCAGGTGAAGTACAGCCACAGGAAACAATAAATGAGATGTATTGATTACACATACACACAGGCTCCTTCTGAAAGACCTTACAACAGTGTAGAAAGAGTCAGTGCTTTGTTATATGTGTTGGAGGGTTCTAGGACATTGAGATCTTTTCCAAAGAGATCTACCAGCCAGTGTTTACTAAAGTCACTCTTATACATTTAAAAAAAATGAGATGCATGGGGCTGGACAGATAGCTCATCAGTTAAGAGCCTTGGCTGCTCTTGTAGAGGACCCAGGTTTGATTTCCAGCATTTACATGGTGGCTCACAACTGTCTATAACTATAGTTCTAGGTGATCTAACATTTTCTGACTTCCTAGGGCACAGTCATACATGCAGGGAAATTACCCATACACATAATATAAATCTTAAAAAGTTATTTTTAATGAGATGCATGGGCTTGGTAGTGAAGGTCATGTACTGCTCTTACAGAAGAGCTGAGTTCATTCCCAACACCCATATCCAGCAGCTTACAACCACTTGTAACTTTAGGGGATTGATGCCCTCTTCTGGCCCCTGGGGAACACACACACACACACACACACACACACACACACACACACACACACAGAAGTGCAACTTGCATAGTATAAGGACCATAGCCTGTTGAGAATATCATGGCAGGAATTCTGACAAATGAGTGTTAAATATAAGACTGGAATTCTTCTCTGGACAGACCTCATAGGCTATCCTACTGTGTTACTGTATCCGTGAAAACAAAGGTTTACTTTTGAGGGCAGGATAATACATCAACATTAACCTGGGTACTTTTGCATCTGTGTACCCTCACACCTGAGTGTGGTTCACTGTGAAAAATTCAAATGCACAAGTTTTCGACAGTTGAGAGCTGAAACGAGCAGTGTCTATTCTGATACCAGAGTCAGTTTCTATTTTTTTTTAAGATTAATTTTATTACTTTTATTTATGTGTATGTGTGTGGGTATGTGTGTGAGTGTGCATTGCCCATTGTGGCCAGAAGAGGGCATCAGGTTCTTTGGAGCTGGAGTTCCAGGGGGTTGTGTGCACCCAGTGTGGGTGCTGAGAACTCAACCTAGGTCTTTTGCAAAAGCTGCACATGCTCTTCATCACTGAGCTGGGCTGTCTCTCCAGCCCCTGGAGTCGGGTTCCCGACTTTGGACTTCAGAAGAGGCTTTTGAATGTCAGCAGAAAGAGTAGCTATCCTGAACACCAAAGTCTGAATGGCAAAGTAGGGCTGTGGGGAAGAAAGCTTTCGGCCTTCAAATGCAAGGTCTGGATGTGTCTCAGAAGCTGTCTGGAAGGCCTCAGGCATATCTGTGTTTTAATTGTCAGAGTGGAGAGAAGGGAAACTGTGTGTGTGTGTGTGTGTGTGTGCGCGCGCGCGCGCGCGCGCGCACGCACGTGTATTATAAGACAAAGGGTTTTCTCTTTCTTACACATGAAAAGGTGGCTGGAGAAATTCACTCGCATACACTACCTTCAAATTGTCCTTGCTTGAGGTAATTTGAAAATAACCTAAGAATTTTGTAAATGGAAAAAAAAAAACGTCCTGAATTTTCATTAGAGAAAATGTTACAGCAAAAGCAGATTCTTGTCCCCTGGGCCCCCATATACAGGGAAGAGGCAGGATTCCATGTTCCTGCCCTGCTTTTCTTTATCGTCTTCACACATCATCATCATGCACGTGCAGGCTGGGCATGATGTATCCTCTGGGCCTGTTGACCCACTGCCAGGCTGGGCCATTTGTCTCACCCACTACCCCCAATCAAAGGGTGAACAGTATGTCACACACAAAATTCCAGATTCTGGGATGGAGGAGATGGCTCAGTGGTTAAGAATGTGTACTGCTCTTGCAGAGGACCCCACTTGGGTGCCCAGCCCTCACATCAGGTGGTTCACAACCTCCTTTAACTCCAGCTCCAGAGTATCTGGCATCCTTCTCTGGCCTCCAGGGTACTTGTACTCATGTACACACACAGAGACACATAAATTAAAAAAAAATCTTTAAAGCATTCCAAGAGGTATCAACATGTCATGCAAATGAAATGACTTGAGGTTTTTGCCTCGCACATGAAGGAGGAAGCCAGTGGGAAATTCAGCAAATTCAAATACAGGTTCAGGACATGAAAGTCCCTGTCTTAGTCACCCTTCTATTGCTGTGAGGACACCAACTTATATAGAGAGGTTATTGGGGCTACAGTTTCTGAGGGTTGGTCCACAGCCATCATAGTAAGAAGCATGGCAGCATTCATAGAGGCATGCTGCTGGAGCAGTAGCTGAGAACTTGGATCTGATCTGATCCACAAGTAGTCAGCAGAGGGAGGGAAGAGAGAGAGGGAGAGAGAGGGGGGAGAGAGACAGAGACAGAGAGAGAGACAGAGAGAGAGAGGTATTAAAAGCTTACCCAGGCCTAGGAGTTGGGGATCTATACATTTAATCGCAAGACTTAAGAGGCAGAGACAGGCTAGCCTGGTCTATACACAATGAGTTCTAGGATAGCCAGGGCTACATAGTAGGCATACTGAGACCCTATCTCAAAATAGATAGATAGACAGATACATATATACATAGATAGATGATAGATAGATACAGATACATAGATAGATAGATGATAGATACATACATAGATACATAGATGATTGATAGATGATAGATAGATAGATAGATAGATAGATAGATAGATAGAT